AAGGCTGTGGGGATATCTTCTTCCAGAGCTTGAACATTACAGGGTCTTGGGCTCTGGCCAGGCAGCGAGGAGGTTACACGTATGCTGCGGCAGACGCTGCCAACGCGACCCCAGAATGGACAGCCTTCGGTCAGGTTCAGCTGAAAGTCGTTCATGGACGTTCTCAAAGTGGTGTTGTGTACTTGAACTTTTACGTCAAACATCTCGGCCAGGCAGGCCGCCCCGTCGGGGGCCTCCTGGGAGACGACGACCACACATACGAAGGGACGCCTCCACAGACGTGCCTACAGACGATTCGTCTTCAGTCCGTGGACGTTGGCGCCCATGCCCAGGAATCTTCCACGGCCTCGATAGCAGTTGCAACACTCGGGTGAGCAGAAGTTCTAGCTATCTTGATGGGCCTGTTTTCCGCCACCACCACCAGAAGTTGGAGGGGATGGGGGTCCTCCTCCTCCTCCTCCTTCGTCCTCCTCTTCCTCCTCCTTCCTCGTCCTCCACCTCCATCCCCCCTCCAACTTGTGGTGTTGGTGGAAGACAGGCCCATCATGTCTCGTGTCTCTCCCCTTCCGTTTCCGGACCAGGGCCAGGGTCGGGTCCGTCGCGGGGGCAGGGCGAGGCTGAGGATGAGCACGCGCCGTCCGCAAAGGGCTGTCGTCGGCGTCGTCGAGACTCGGCGGCGAGTACGGGGAAGGGGGGAAGGAGAAGGAGAAGACCTTCTCAGAAGGCGGCCGGACTCTTCTCAGAGGTCCTCGCGCCTTCGGAGCAGCTTTGTGTGCCTTCGGGGAAGGCTCAGAAAGCCCCTCAGACGGCCGGGGGACTGCCGAGCCTTCTGAGAAGGCCCGCCCCTTCTCACCTTCCCCCCAGGCGCGCCGCCTAGAGACGCCCGCGTAAGGAGTCCGCGTGCCGTCGCTTGCTCGGACCTTTCACGTGCGTGTGGCGTGTGAGCTGCCGACAAACTTTTTGGACGATGGCAGGCCGTGTGCCGCGAACTTGTTGCTGCCTCGCCGCCCCTGAAGCGTCGAGGCAGGAGCTACGCTCAAGTAATTTTCTGGTGCGAGAAAGAAAAGACAGGGGTGGGCAGAACTCCCACCCTGACACGCCGATTAGTGAATTGTCCGTTTTCGGTTCTCGAGAGGGCGCCGCGGCCGTCATTTTCCAGGCTTGCGCCCGCCAGGTTTGGGCTCGAGGTCGTTTTCACTAAACCACGTTTTACTAAAGGGGCCTTTGTCCATCCCCGAAGCAAGAATGAGCAGCCCCTCGAGTGCAGCGACAGCGGCAGCGACAGGCTTAGAGTGAATATTCCGGTTGGCCCTTCGGGGCATTCCCCCGCTCCCTGGTATGCTCTCTCTCTATATATATATGTGTGTATATATATATATATATATATTGTAGAGGCCTCTGGCCTTCGACGCCGAGCCGGGGCGCTCCAGGACGGTGAGAACTCGTCAGCTTCCCCAATCAGTGTTTACGTTGAAGGGGTCCTATAGCGGTCACAGAAGAGATTGGCGAAAGTCGCCGGCCAGCCGGGTTGTGGGTTATAGGCCTCTTGGATGTTCGCGGGGATACCGTGGGAGGCCTCTCGGGGGCCTGTTGGAGGCGGTTTGAGAGCTCTTGGGGGCCGTCTGGGGGCCTCTTTGGACACTGTTGGGCCGCTGTGGGGCCGCTTGGACGGCGCTTGGGGCCTCTTGGAGGCCTCCAGAGGCCTCCTGGTGGCCTTCGGGCGGAAGACTGGAATTGTCGGTTCGTGTTTGCGCTCTTGGTTTCTTCTTTGGGCCGTCTTGGGGCTCCCTTGATCTGTCTTGGGCTCCTCTTGGGCCGTTGTGGTGCCCTCTTAGGTCGTCCTGGGACCCTCTTCGAGGCCTCTTGTGCCGTCTTGGGGCGGTCTTGGGGGGTCCCTGGGGTCTTCGGGGTCCCTGGGGCCGTCCTGGGAACGTAAAGACGTACAACAATAATATAATGACAATCCATGATTGTTGCGTCTTCGCGCTCTCTTGGCGGAGTACTCCGGATAGTGTTTGGCGGTTTCAGAATGAACAGGCCCTCACGTGCCGCAGTCATTTTCGCTCAAGCCGTTTTGGCCCAAGCGACAGCAGGCTTTGTCCACACCACAGAACTTCACATCCATTTTAGGGCGGCCAATCAGCATCAGGTCAATGCCGACCTTTCTATACATTACGATCTTCGTGGTGTCGTCGATCGGCGGTGCCGCTATTGACGTGGGGTCCATGATCAAGGGTACGTTCGACATTCGCGAAGCTGTGAACTCGTCAAGCCCAGCCCGCCTGCGCGGCGAGAGTTTGACCGCTGCGACGTGCGCCACAATGAACATCCTGGGCCCAGGGGTGAAAACTGAGGGCACATTCGGTGGGAAGATCACTGGCCGCGGCTGGCCAGAATACGCCGACACCGTTTCGCAGTGTGCTCAGTTGTGCATCGACGAACCGCAGTGCAGTTGGCTCCACTACTACTCGGAACCAGGAGAGCACGCTGACACACATTGCTATCTGCACCCGGACCCGTCTCCAGGATCAGCTGACGTGGTTGTCGATCTCACCCGAGGCAGGTATGTCGCCTTCTGCGGAACCCCGACGCCCGGTCCGACGCCCAGTCCGACGCCCGGTCCGACGCCCAGCCCGACGCCCAGCCCGACGCCCAGCCCGACGCCGCCCGCGACGTCGCCAGGTGCGGGTGGTGCGTCTGCCGTTGGCGATCCCCACCTGCAGAATGTTCATGGTGAGCGGTTCGATCTGATGCAGCCGGGCAGGCATGTGCTGATAAATATTCCTCGCGGCGAGCGCGCTGACCTCGCATTGCTCCGCGTGGTGGCCGATGCGTATCGGGTGGGTCAAGGCTGTGGGGATATCTTCTTCCAGAGCTTGAACATTACAGGGTCTTGGGCTCTGGCCAGGCAGCGAGGAGGTTACACGTATGCTGCGGCAGACGCTGCCAACGCGACCCCAGAATGGACAGCCTTCGGTCAGGTTCAGCTGAAAGTCGTTCATGGACGTTCTCAAAGTGGTGTTGTGTACTTGAACTTTTACGTCAAACATCTCGGCCAGGCAGGCCGCCCCGTCGGGGGCCTCCTGGGAGACGACGACCACACATACGAAGGGACGCCTCCACAGACGTGCCTACAGACGATTCGTCTTCAGTCCGTGGACGTTGGCGCCCATGCCCAGGAATCTTCCACGGCCTCGATAGCAGTTGCAACACTCGGGTGAGCAGAAGTTCTAGCTATCTTGATGGGCCTGTTTTCCGCCACCACCACCAGAAGTTGGAGGGGATGGGGGTCCTCCTCCTCCTCCTCCTTCGTCCTCCTCTTCCTCCTCCTTCCTCGTCCTCCACCTCCATCCCCCCTCCAACTTGTGGTGTTGGTGGAAGACAGGCCCATCATGTCTCGTGTCTCTCCCCTTCCGTTTCCGGACCAGGGCCAGGGTCGGGTCCGTCGCGGGGGCAGGGCGAGGCTGAGGATGAGCACGCGCCGTCCGCAAAGGGCTGTCGTCGGCGTCGTCGAGACTCGGCGGCGAGTACGGGGAAGGGGGGAAGGAGAAGGAGAAGACCTTCTCAGAAGGCGGCCGGACTCTTCTCAGAGGTCCTCGCGCCTTCGGAGCAGCTTTGTGTGCCTTCGGGGAAGGCTCAGAAAGCCCCTCAGACGGCCGGGGGACTGCCGAGCCTTCTGAGAAGGCCCGCCCCTTCTCACCTTCCCCCCAGGCGCGCCGCCTAGAGACGCCCGCGTAAGGAGTCCGCGTGCCGTCGCTTGCTCGGACCTTTCACGTGCGTGTGGCGTGTGAGCTGCCGACAAACTTTTTGGACGATGGCAGGCCGTGTGCCGCGAACTTGTTGCTGCCTCGCCGCCCCTGAAGCGTCGAGGCAGGAGCTACGCTCAAGTAATTTTCTGGTGCGAGAAAGAAAAGACAGGGGTGGGCAGAACTCCCACCCTGACACGCCGATTAGTGAATTGTCCGTTTTCGGTTCTCGAGAGGGCGCCGCGGCCGTCATTTTCCAGGCTTGCGCCCGCCAGGTTTGGGCTCGAGGTCGTTTTCACTAAACCACGTTTTACTAAAGGGGCCTTTGTCCATCCCCGAAGCAAGAATGAGCAGCCCCTCGAGTGCAGCGACAGCGGCAGCGACAGGCTTAGAGTGAATCTTCCGGTTGGCCCTTCGGGGCATTCCCCCGCTCCCTGGTATGCTCTCTCTCTCTATATATATATGTGTATATATATATATATATATATTGTAGAGGCCTCTGGCCTTCGACGCCGAGCCGGGGCGCTCCAGGACGGTGAGAACTCGTCAGCTTCCCCAATCAGTGTTTACGTTGAAGGGGTCCTATAGCGGTCACAGAAGAGATTGGCGGAAGTCGCCGGCCAGCCGGGTTGTGGGTTATAGGCCTCTTGGATGTTCGCGGGGATACCGTGGGAGGCCTCTCGGGGGCCTGTTGGAGGCGGTTTGAGAGCTCTTGGGGGCCGTCTGGGGGCCTCTTTGGACACTGTTGGGCCGCTGTGGGGCCGCTTGGACGGCGCTTGGGGCCTCTTGGAGGCCTCCAGAGGCCTCCTGGTGGCCTTCGGGCGGAAGACTGGAATTGTCGGTTCGTGTTTGCGCTCTTGGTTTCTTCTTTGGGCCGTCTTGGGGCTCCCTTGATCTGTCTTGGGCTCCTCTTGGGCCGTTGTGGTGCCCTCTTAGGTCGTCCTGGGACCCTCTTCGAGGCCTCTTGTGCCGTCTTGGGGCGGTCTTGGGGGGTCCCTGGGGTCTTCGGGGTCCCTGGGGCCGTCCTGGGAACGTAAAGACGTACAACAATAATATAATGACAATCCATGATTGTTGCGTCTTCGCGCTCTCTTGGCGGAGTACTCCGGATAGTGTTTGGCGGTTTCAGAATGAACAGGCCCTCACGTGCCGCAGTCATTTTCGCTCAAGCCGTTTTGGCCCAAGCGACAGCAGTCTTTGTCCACACCACAGAACTTCGCATCCATTTTAGGGCGGCCAATCAGCATCAGGTCAATGCCGACCTTTCTATACATTACGATCTTCGTGGTGTCGTCGATCGGCGGTGCCGCTATTGACGTGGGGTCCATGATCAAGGGTACGTTCGACATTCGCGAAGCTGTGAACTCGTCAAGCCCAGCCCGCCTGCGCGGCGAGAGTTTGACCGCTGCGACGTGCGCCACAATGAACATCCTGGGCCCAGGGGTGAAAACTGAGGGCACATTCGGTGGGAAGATCACTGGCCGCGGCTGGCCAGAATACGCCGACACCGTTTCGCAGTGTGCTCAGTTGTGCATCGACGAACCGCAGTGCAGTTGGCTCCACTACTACTCGGAACCAGGAGAGCACGCTGACACACATTGCTATCTGCACCCAGACCCGTCTCCAGGATCAGCTGACGTGGTTGTCGATCTCACCCGAGGCAGGTATGTCGCCTTCTGCGGAACCCCGACACCCGGTCCGACGCCCAGTCCGACGCCCGGTCCGACGCCCAGCCCGACGCCCAGCCCGACGCCCAGCCCGACGCCGCCCGCGACGTCGCCAGGTGCGGGTGGTGCGTCTGCCGTTGGCGATCCCCACCTGCAGAATGTTCATGGTGAGCGGTTCGATCTGATGCAGCCGGGCAGGCATGTGCTGATAAATATTCCTCGCGGCGAGCGCGCTGACCTCGCATTGCTCCGCGTGGTGGCCGATGCGTATCGGGTGGGTCAAGGCTGTGGGGATATCTTCTTCCAGAGCTTGAACATTACAGGGTCTTGGGCTCTGGCCAGGCAGCGAGGAGGTTACACGTATGCTGCGGCAGACGCTGCCAACGCGACCCCAGAATGGACAGCCTTCGGTCAGGTTCAGCTGAAAGTCGTTCATGGACGTTCTCAAAGTGGTGTTGTGTACTTGAACTTTTACGTCAAACATCTCGGCCAGGCAGGCCGCCCCGTCGGGGGCCTCCTGGGAGACGACGACCACACATACGAAGGGACGCCTCCACAGACGTGCCTACAGACGATTCGTCTTCAGTCCGTGGACGTTGGCGCCCATGCCCAGGAATCTTCCACGGCCTCGATAGCAGTTGCAACACTCGGGTGAGCAGAAGTTCTAGCTATCTTGATGGGCCTGTTTTCCGCCACCACCACCAGAAGTTGGAGGGGATGGGGGTCCTCCTCCTCCTCCTCCTTCGTCCTCCTCTTCCTCCTCCTTCCTCGTCCTCCACCTCCATCCCCCCTCCAACTTGTGGTGTTGGTGGAAGACAGGCCCATCATGTCTCGTGTCTCTCCCCTTCCGTTTCCGGACCAGGGCCAGGGTCGGGTCCGTCGCGGGGGCAGGGCGAGGCTGAGGATGAGCACGCGCCGTCCGCAAAGGGCTGTCGTCGGCGTCGTCGAGACTCGGCGGCGAGTACGGGGAAGGGGGGAAGGAGAAGGAGAAGACCTTCTCAGAAGGCGGCCGGACTCTTCTCAGAGGTCCTCGCGCCTTCGGAGCAGCTTTGTGTGCCTTCGGGGAAGGCTCAGAAAGCCCCTCAGACGGCCGGGGGACTGCCGAGCCTTCTGAGAAGGCCCGCCCCTTCTCACCTTCCCCCCAGGCGCGCCGCCTAGAGACGCCCGCGTAAGGAGTCCGCGTGCCGTCGCTTGCTCGGACCTTTCACGTGCGTGTGGCGTGTGAGCTGCCGACAAACTTTTTGGACGATGGCAGGCCGTGTGCCGCGAACTTGTTGCTGCCTCGCCGCCCCTGAAGCGTCGAGGCAGGAGCTACGCTCAAGTAATTTTCTGGTGCGAGAAAGAAAAGACAGGGGTGGGCAGAACTCCCACCCTGACACGCCGATTAGTGAATTGTCCGTTTTCGGTTCTCGAGAGGGCGCCGCGGCCGTCATTTTCCAGGCTTGCGCCCGCCAGGTTTGGGCTCGAGGTCGTTTTCACTAAACCACGTTTTACTAAAGGGGCCTTTGTCCATCCCCGAAGCAAGAATGAGCAGCCCCTCGAGTGCAGCGACAGCGGCAGCGACAGGCTTAGAGTGAATCTTCCGGTTGGCCCTTCGGGGCATTCCCCCGCTCCCTGGTATGCTCTCTCTCTATATATATATGTGTGTATATATATATATATATATATATTGTAGAGGCCTCTGGCCTTCGACGCCGAGCCGGGGCGCTCCAGGACGGTGAGAACTCGTCAGCTTCCCCAATCAGTGTTTACGTTGAAGGGGTCCTATAGCGGTCACAGAAGAGATTGGCGGAAGTCGCCGGCCAGCCGGGTTGTGGGTTATAGGCCTCTTGGATGTTCGCGGGGATACCGTGGGAGGCCTCTCGGGGGCCTGTTGGAGGCGGTTTGAGAGCTCTTGGGGGCCGTCTGGGGGCCTCTTTGGACACTGTTGGGCCGCTGTGGGGCCGCTTGGACGGCGCTTGGGGCCTCTTGGAGGCCTCCAGAGGCCTCCTGGTGGCCTTCGGGCGGAAGACTGGAATTGTCGGTTCGTGTTTGCGCTCTTGGTTTCTTCTTTGGGCCGTCTTGGGGCTCCCTTGATCTGTCTTGGGCTCCTCTTGGGCCGTTGTGGTGCCCTCTTAGGTCGTCCTGGGACCCTCTTCGAGGCCTCTTGTGCCGTCTTGGGGCGGTCTTGGGGGGTCCCTGGGGTCTTCGGGGTCCCTGGGGCCGTCCTGGGAACGTAAAGACGTACAACAATAATATAATGACAATCCATGATTGTTGCGTCTTCGCGCTCTCTTGGCGGAGTACTCCGGATAGTGTTTGGCGGTTTCAGAATGAACAGGCCCTCACGTGCCGCAGTCATTTTCGCTCAAGCCGTTTTGGCCCAAGCGACAGCAGTCTTTGTCCACACCACAGAACTTCACATCCATTTTAGGGCGGCCAATCAGCATCAGGTCAATGCCGACCTTTCTATACATTACGATCTTCGTGGTGTCGTCGATCGGCGGTGCCGCTATTGACGTGGGGTCCATGATCAAGGGTACGTTCGACATTCGCGAAGCTGTGAACTCGTCAAGCCCAGCCCGCCTGCGCGGCGAGAGTTTGACCGCTGCGACGTGCGCCACAATGAACATCCTGGGCCCAGGGGTGAAAACTGAGGGCACATTCGGTGGGAAGATCACTGGCCGCGGCTGGCCAGAATACGCCGACACCGTTTCGCAGTGTGCTCAGTTGTGCATCGACGAACCGCAGTGCAGTTGGCTCCACTACTACTCGGAACCAGGAGAGCACGCTGACACACATTGCTATCTGCACCCAGACCCGTCTCCAGGATCAGCTGACGTGGTTGTCGATCTCACCCGAGGCAGGTATGTCGCCTTCTGCGGAACCCCGACACCCGGTCCGACGCCCAGTCCGACGCCCGGTCCGACGCCCAGCCCGACGCCCAGCCCGACGCCCAGCCCGACGCCGCCCGCGACGTCGCCAGGTGCGGGTGGTGCGTCTGCCGTTGGCGATCCCCACCTGCAGAATGTTCATGGTGAGCGGTTCGATCTGATGCAGCCGGGCAGGCATGTGCTGATAAATATTCCTCGCGGCGAGCGCGCTGACCTCGCATTGCTCCGCGTGGTGGCCGATGCGTATCGGGTGGGTCAAGGCTGTGGGGATATCTTCTTCCAGAGCTTGAACATTACAGGGTCTTGGGCTCTGGCCAGGCAGCGAGGAGGTTACACGTATGCTGCGGCAGACGCTGCCAACGCGACCCCAGAATCTTCGGGGCTCAGCGAGGACGGTGCCTATTCGTCTTCAGTCCGTGGACGTTGGCGCCCATGTATGCTGCGGCAGATAGCAGTTGCAACACTCGGGTGAGCAGAAGTTCTAGCTATCTTGATGGGCCTGTTTTCCGCCACCACCATGTTGGAGGGGATGGGGGTCCTCCTCCTCCTCCTCCTTCGTCCTCCTCTTCCTCCTCCTTCCTCGTCCTCCACCTCCATCCCCCCTCCAACTTGTGGTGTTGGTGGAAGACAGGCCCATCATGTCTCGTGTCTCTCCCCTTCCGTTTCCGGACCAGGGCCAGGGTCGGGTCCGTCGCGGGGGCAGGGCGAGGCTGAGGATGAGCACGCGCCGTCCGCAAAGGGCTGTCGTCGGCGTCGTCGAGACTCGGCGGCGAGTACGGGGAAGGGGGGAAGGAGAAGGAGAAGACCTTCTCAGAAGGCGGCCGGACTCTTCTCAGAGGTCCTCGCGCCTTCGGAGCAGCTTTGTGTGCCTTCGGGGAAGGCTCAGAAAGCCCCTCAGACGGCCGGGGGACTGCCGAGCCTTCTGAGAAGGCCCGCCCCTTCTCACCTTCCCCCCAGGCGCGCCGCCTAGAGACGCCCGCGTAAGGAGTCCGCGTGCCGTCGCTTGCTCGGACCTTTCACGTGCGTGTGGCGTGTGAGCTGCCGACAAACTTTTTGGACGATGGCAGGCCGTGTGCCGCGAACTTGTTGCTGCCTCGCCGCCCCTGAAGCGTCGAGGCAGGAGCTACGCTCAAGTAATTTTCTGGTGCGAGAAAGAAAAGACAGGGGTGGGCAGAACTCCCACCCTGACACGCCGATTAGTGAATTGTCCGTTTTCGGTTCTCGAGAGGGCGCCGCGGCCGTCATTTTCCAGGCTTGCGCCCGCCAGGTTTGGGCTCGAGGTCGTTTTCACTAAACCACGTTTTACTAAAGGGGCCTTTGTCCATCCCCGAAGCAAGAATGAGCAGCCCCTCGAGTGCAGCGACAGCGGCAGCGACAGGCTTAGAGTGAATCTTCCGGTTGGCCCTTCGGGGCATTCCCCCGCTCCCTGGTATGTGATATGTATACATATATATATATATAGATGTGTGTATATATATATATATATATATATATATATATAGTAGAGGCCTCTGGCCTTCGACGCCGGTCCGGGGCGCTCCAGGACGGTGCGAACTCGTCAGCTTCCCCACCAAGCGTTTACGTTGAAGGGGTCCTATAGCGGACACAGAAGAGATTGGCGGAAGTCGCTGGCCGGCCGGGTTGTGGGTTATAGGCTTCTTGGATGTTCGTGGGGATACCGTGGGAGGCCTCTCGGGGGCCTGTTGGAGGCAGTTTGAGGGCTCTTGGGGGCCGTCTGGGGGCCTCTTTGGACACTGTTGGGCCTCTGGGGGGCCGCTTGGACGGCTCTTGGGGCCTCTTGGAGGCCTCCAGAGGCCTCCTGGTGGCCTTCGGGCGGAAGACTGGAATTGTCGGTTCGTGTTTGCGCTCTTGGTTTCTTCTTTGGGCCGTCTTGGGGCTCCCGTGATCTGTCTTGGGCTCCTCTTGGGGCGTTGTGGTGCCCTCTTGGGTCGTCTTGGACCCTCTTCGAGGCCTCTTCTGCCGTCTTGGGGCGGTCTTGGGGGGTCCCTGGGGTCTTCGGGGTCCCTGGGGCCGTCCTGGGAACGTAAAGACGTACAACAACAATATAATGACAATCCAGGATTGTTGCGTTTTCGCGCTCTCTTGGCGGAGTACTCTGGATAGTGTTTGGCGGTTTCAGAATGAACAGGCCCTCACGTGCCGCAGTCATTTTCGCTCAAGCCGTTTTTGCCCAAGCGACAGCAGTCCTTGTCCACACCACAGAATTTCACATCCATTGTTGGGCGGCCAATCAGCATCAGGTCAATGTCCACCTGTCTATACAGTCGGCCCAGATTAGTAGGTCGACCCTGCCAAATCAAGGGTTCCCTTGTGTCCTGTGTCTCGCGACCCATGCTTCCTACATTCCTGTGGCAATGTGGCCCTCGGAATGGTCTTGCGTCCTCTCGCGTGTCCTGCTCAATCGAGTCCGACTGTACATCACGATCTTCATGGTGTCGTCGATCGGCGGTGCCGCTATTGACGTGGGGTCCATGATCAAGGGTATGTTCGACATCCACGAAGCTGTGAACTCGTCACGCCCAGCCCGCCTGCGCGGCGAGAGTTTGACCGCTGCGACATGCGCCACAATGAACATCCTGGGCCCAGGGGTGAGAACTGTGGGCACATTCGGTGGGAAGATCACCGGCCGCGGCTGGCCAGAGTACGCCGACACCGTTTCGCAGTGTGCTCAGTTGTGCATCGACGAACCACAGTGCAGTTGGCTCCACTACTACTCGGAACCAGGAGAGCACGCTGACACATTGCTATCTGCACCCCGACC